GGAGAGTCCTGGGTTCGGTTCCCGCTAAGGGCATGTACCTCAGTTGCAGTTTGTCCCTGGCCCAGGTTGGGGTTGTGTGGGTGGCAACCAGGCGATGTGTCTCTCTCACATCGATGTTGCTCTCTCTCTCTCTTCCCCCTTCACCCTCCTACTCTACCTGAAGATAAATGCAAAACATGTCCTCAGGCAAGGATAAAATAAATATATATGAAAAAACAAAATGGCCAAGAGACATATGAAAAAAATGCTCAATGTCACTAATCATCAGAGAAATGTATATTAAACAACTATGAGGTGCCCCACCAGCATGGCTCAGTGGTTGAGCACTGACCCACGAACCAAGAGGTTGCCAGTTCGATTCCCAGTCAGGGCACATGCCCAGGTTGTGGGCCAAATCCCCTGGGGGGGGGGGGGCTGCAGGAGGCAGCCAATTGATGTTCTTTTTCATCAATGTTTCTATCTCTCTTTCTCTCTCCCTTTTCTCTCTAAAATCAATAAAGAAAAATAAAATAAAAAACAACTATGAGGTATCACCTCAAACTTGCCAGAATGGCTACCATCGACAAACCATCAAACAACAAGTGCTGGCAAGGATGTGGAGAAACGTGCACTCTAGTACACTGTTGGTGGGAATGCAGACTGATGCAGCCACTACAGATAACAATATGGTGTTTCCTCAAAAACTTAAAAATGAAACTGTCATTTGATTCAGTGATCCCGTTGCTAGGAATATATCCTAAGAAGCTGGAAACCCCAATCAGAAAGAGTATAAGCCCTCCTATGTTCATAGAAGGGCTATTTACAATAGCTAAGAGCTGGAAACAGCCCAAGTGCCCATGAGTAGATGAGTGGATAAAAAAGCTGTGGTACATTTACAGAATGTAGTAGTACATAGCTGTAAGAAAGATCTCTTACCCTATGAGACAACATGGAGGAACCTGGAGATTATCATGCTAAGTGAAATAAGCCAATAAACCAGTCAGAGAAAGAAGTATCACATGATCTCACTTATTTGTGGAATATAATGAACACAATAAGCTATAAAACAAAATAGATCCAGAGACATGAAAGTAGCAAAGAGACTGACAAACTCAGAGGGAAGGGGGGGGGGTATGAAGAGAAAAACCAAAGAACTTATATGCATACAGGCATAATCAATGGATGGCTGACAACAATGAGGTGAAGGCAGGGGTGGGGAGTAAGCAGTGGGGAGGGAGATGTCAATGAGGGGAAAAAAGGGAGGTACATCTGTAATACTTTCAACAATAAAGATATATATTTTAAAAAATAAAAAAAAACAAAACATAGTAAGCATAAAAGAAAGAAAACCTGATCAAAAAATGGGCTAAAGAACTTAGCAGACACCTCACCACAGAAGAGGTACACAGAAGGTAAATGAGCCACATCATATGCCCCCAGGAAAATACAAATTAAAATCACGAGCTACCACTACACACCTACTAGAATGGTTAACATCCAGAACACTGACAACACCAAAATATGAGTAAGGATGTGGGGCAACAGGAACTGGTGGGAATGCAAAATGGTATAGCCACTTTGCAAGATAGTCTGGTGATGTCTTATAAAACTAAATACACTCTATGAGCAATTGTACTCCTTGGTATTAACGCGAAAGAACTGAAATTTTATGTCCACACAAAAACACACAAAGATGTTTACAATAGCTTTATTCATAATTGCCAAAACTTTTGGGCAAACAAGATGTCCTTCAGTAAGTGAATGAATAAATAAACTGTGCTATAACCATATGATGGAATATTATTCAGCACTAAAAAGAAATCAGCTATACCCTGGCCAGCGTAGCTCACTTGGTTGGGTATCCTTCTATGCACCAAAAGGTTGCTGATTCAATTCGCAGTTAGGTCACATGCCCAGTTGCCAGGTAGGGGGCATGCAGTAGGCAGCCAATCAATGTTTCAATCACATCAACGTTTCTCTCTAGCTCTCTCCCCCCCTTCTTCTCTCTCTCTCTCTAAAACTCAATTTAAAAAATCAGCTATCAAGCCCAGGTGGTATGACTGTGGTTGAGCATCGACCCATGCACCAGGAGGTCACTGGTTGATTCCCAGGCAGGGTATGTGCCCAGGTTGTGGGCCTGATCCCCAGTGTGGGGCATGCAGGAGGCGGTCAGTCGATGTTCTCTCTCATCAATGTTTCTCTCTCTCCTTCTTCCTTCCTCCCTCTAAAATCAATAAAGAAAAAAAAAAAATTTTTTTTAAATCAGCTATCAAGCCATGTAAAGACACTGAGGAAACTTAAATGTATATTACTAAGTGAAAGGAGTCCATCAGAACAGGCCACATACTACACAATCCAACTATCTGAAATTCTGGAAAAGGCAAAAACTACAGAGCAGTAAAAATATCAATGGTTGCCAGTGGTTGGTGGGTGGTGAGGGATGAATTGTGGAGCACAGACAATTTTCAGGGCAGTGAAACCACTCTGTATAATACTACAAATGGTAGATACATGTCATTATATATTTGTCTAAACCCACAGAATGTACAACACCAAGAATAAACCTATTAATGTAAAGTATGGATTCTGGATGACTATGTGCCCATGTAGGTTCATCAGTTGTAACAAATGCACCACTCTGGTGGGGGATGCTGATAGTGTGGATTGCCCATACTGTGTGTGTATGGGAAATCTCTGTATCATCCCCTCAATTTTGCTAAAACTGCTCTAAAAGTGTGAAAGTCAATAAAGTAAAAAACCTCATTAAAATCAGGGTCACAAACTCCATTCACTGCCTTTTACAGACTCCAATAGGAAGCTACTTTACATGCTCCAGCAGCAGGAAGATTTTTCTCTTTGCTCAGCAACAGCCTAGCCAATAAGAAATCACCACACTGAGCCAATGAGAAGCTACCACCACGCCCAACTCTTGCTCTCCTCCAATGAACCTCTATTCAAAACAACCCCTCCCTGTCCACTGGTGTGGCTCAGTGGTTGAGCACTGACTCAGGCACCAAGAAGTCTCCAGTTTGATTCCCAGTCAGGGCACATGCCTGGATTGCAGGCTCGATCCCCAGTAGGGGGCATGGAGGAGACAGCCAATCCATGTTTCTATCTCTTTCTCCCTCTCCTCCTCTCTCTAAAAATCAATAAAAACATATGTTTTATTAAAAACCCTCCCAACTCTCTCCTTTCCTCTATAAAAGCAGCTCCTCTCTCTGGACTTGACTATGGTTTCACCATGGTTTGCATCCCCAGTTGCAATTCCTCTGCTATTCCAAAATAAACTCATTTTGCTGATAAAATAACTGGCTATTTTAAAGGTTGACATAAGTAAAATCTACTTTATAAACAAAAAGTGATACCTGAGAGATGGTGCTGCATCCAGAACACAAGAACAGGGTGCTCTGAGAAATGACTCAAGGATGAGAAATCAGAAGTATGAGTGTGAAAATAACACAGAGAAGGCAGGAAGGCACCTGGGCTTCCAATGAGACAGTCAGACCCAGTGCTGTCCTATTCCCACAGAGATCAAAGGTAAATGGCCAACAGCAACCAGGTGGAGAAGGAGCACATGAATTAACTCCATGAACTAACCAGCGAGGTTAGGCCAGAAAAGATGCATCAGGCTAGGCAGGAGAGTGAACTCTGGCCCCAAAGCCTCACACTACAGAAAAGAACTGGGCAATGAACCTGGACTTCACCCACCAATCCCCTAGGCTCAGGAGCACCCAACCCCCTCACCGGGGGAGGGAAGGGGTGAGAGGGCATGTCTTCAACCCTTCCCTCCACTGCTGAGGAGAAACAATGCCACTACCTTTGCACCTTTGCAGTGTCTTTGATGGAATGAAGATCCATCCTACTCCTCCTTACACAAAACTTGGTAGGGAGGAGTAGGATGGGTCTCAGAAAGGAAACTAGGGTCAGAGGCTGTCATCACAGTAGCCCCCAATTCCCTTAGCACACTGAACAGTGAGTGGCAACAAGTGCATGCACTGGGACAGGACCTGCTGATACAGCAGCTAGGCAATGACATTCCAGACCACAGGGAAAGTATGGATAAAGGAAAACTAAGAAACAAAAAGAAACTGCTTTACACTGTAGAGTGACTTATAAGAATATAAACTCGTAACAAGAATACAAAGGCAAAAAGATGTAAAGGAAGACTGCAGACACAGCAAGGAACTTTGGGAATCAAAACATCATGACAACACTGATAAATTAAAAAGAGTAATGACCAAAATACATGCTACTGAAAAATTACTGACAGAGGGCTCAAGATAATCAAAGAATAAAGATTCTAAGATAAAGAAACTAAAGCAACTAGAAGAATGTAATAAGATATGTGAGCCAGACAAAAACGATGGCATCTCTGAAACAGAACACAGCAGGCATTGCAAATGTTTTCTGTAGAGTGCCAGATAGGAGACAACTGGGGCTTGGCCACAGAGTGTCTATCACAAATCTGCTATTGAACTGAGGGCATAGAAGCCCCAGACAATATGCAAACAAGTGGGCATAGCAGCGTACACTAAAATAGGAAAACGGGCTGTGATTGCCTGAAGGCCATACCTTACTGACTCTACACTGCCACAGCACCCACCAAGTCTCCGGCAACACCACAGGAACAAAGACCCAAAATAATCATCAGATGAAGAACACCTACAAGCTTTCAGGGCCCCAAAACAAAAAGGCACGAAGCTTCTCAACAGAAATACCAGCTCAAGAAGACAGGCCAGGTTTCACAATTCTCAGTAACAATTTTCCACCATCACCGAAGCGATTCGCTGGCGCGTCCCCGGGTGCCTTTCCCGCCCACCTAAGGAAGCCCTGCCCCAGAGCCCTCTTCCAATGTACCCACCTCATCCTCAGTTGCCCTCCCCCTGACGGCCCTGTCCCTGGGTGCCCCCTCCTCCCAGCTCCCCATCCCTCGCTTGGGTGGCCCCCTTCACCCTGACTTCCCATATTTCCCCTAGGTGCCGGCTCCCCTGGATATCTTTCTCCCCGATATCCGACCTCACCCATAGAGAATGACGTCATAGAGAGTGCGTCCCTGGACGTTGAGAAAGTGAGCGTAGCCCGCGCGCGCGGGGGGCGAGGCCACACGGGCCGCAGAAACGGGAAGCGGCAGGTCATTGGTCAGCAGCCCCAGGAGGAAAATGGCCGAGTCCGGCCCGCGCACGCGCACCAAGGCGCGTTCGCCCAGCCGGAAGCAGGCCCAGGCTGCGCTGTCAGCTCGGTCGCTGTCGTTTTCGCCCGAGCCGTGGGATAGGCAGTACCGAGAGACCGCGCGCAGCCTCCAGCGCCAGGCCGGGCCGCCATACCTCGGAGCCGCGCCCCGGAACAGCGCCGCAGCTGCCATCTTGAACATGCGTGAAGCGGCGGGAAGGAGCGGCCCGGATGGCGAGCGGGTGCCACAACGTCCCCTGGCGGCGGGCGGAACGTGCGCGGGGGTGTGGATGGGGCGGAGCCTCGCGCCTCACCCCTTGGGGCTGGATCCTGTTCCAGGCTCTGGACGCACCAGCTCTGGTAAGCCCGTGGATTTTCAGAGCAGAGTTTCTGCTTGCTTACTGCGGTCTCAGCGGTTTTCAGGTGCACAGTTCAGGGGTATTAAGCGCATCCCCATTGTCATGCAGCCATCTCCACCATCCAGCACTTTCTCATTTTCCCAAATTGAAACACCGTATCCATCAAACTCCAGCCCCCATTCTCTCCTCAACTCCTGGCATCCCCCTGCCCCACTCTACTTTTCTCTGTGAACCTGACTTCTCTGGAAACTCATATGAGAGGAATAATGCGGTATTATCCTTTTGTGATTGCTGATGCCACTGCGAAGGACGTCCCCCAGGCTTATCCACGGCGTATCAGTATTTCCTTCATTTTTAAGGCTAAATAACATCCCCTTACATTTTGTTTCTGTTAACTCCTTGATGGACACTTGGGTTGCTTCCACACCTTGGCTGTTGTGAACGTGCTGCTCTAGACATGGGGGTGCAGATCTCTTCAAGACCCTGCTTTTGGCATTGTGAAAGGACTTAAATCCACTCCTGTGTGTAGTTTACTCTCACACTCCTTTCACTTTTGACACTTCTGATCACCAAATGTGTGTGTGTGTGTGTGTGTGTGTGTGTGTGTAGGGTCTCCACACATAAAGCAATTCTACAACACCAGCTGGGTGTCCCATAATTTAACTCAATTGTGACCATATCTAACAGGAGACAGCATAAATCTCACAGGTGAAGGCCCTGTGCTTCTAATTTGAGGTTCCCACAACCCTGTCCTTGGGGTCCATTAATTTGCTAGCGCAGCTCACAGAGTTCAGAGAAATATTAAATAACTAAATTGCTAGCTTATTGTAAAAAATATTTAACTCAGACCGGGCTGGTGTGGCTCAGTGGTTGAGCATCAACCCATGCACCAATAGGTCACCAGTTCAATTCCCAGGCAGTGCACATTGCCCAGGATGTGGGCCCATTCCCCAGTGGGGGGCATGCAGGAGGCGCCAGTCGATGTTCTCTTTCGTCGATATTTCTATCTCTCCCTCTCCTTACCTTTCTCTCTCTAAAATCAATAAAGAAAAAAATTTATTTTTTAATTCTTTAAAAAGCCCTGGCTGGTTTGGTTCAGTGGTTACAGCTTTGGCCCGCGGACCAGAGACCCGGGTTTGGTTCCTGCTAAGGGCACATACCTCTGTTGCAGTTTTTGTCCCTGGCCCTGGTTGGGGTTGTGTGGGTGGCAACCAGTCATGTGGCTCACACATCAATGTTTCTCTCTCTCTCTTCCTCCCTCTCCATCTGAAGATAAATGCAAAAAATAAAAATTAAAAAATATTCTTAAATATACATATATAACTCAGAACATTCAGATGGAAGAAATGCACAGGGCAAGGTATAGGAAAAGGGCGAGGGGCTTCCGTGCTCTCTGTGCCCATCTCCACAGTTCCACCAACCCAGAAACTCTCCAAACCCCCGTCCTTTTGGGTGTTTATGGAGGCTTCATTCCATAGGCATGATTGATTAAATCACTGGTCATAGGTGATTGATTCAACCTCCAGCACCTCTCCCCACCTTGGAGAACAGGAGGTGGAATTGAAAGTTACAATCCTCTAATCACTGGTTAGTTTCCCTGGCCCCAGCTCCCAATTTAGGGGCTTTCCAAGTCACTTTATTAATATAACAAAAAATACCTTTGTGGTTCTCATCACAAGAAATTCCAAAGGTTTTAGGAACTCTGTACCAGGAACAGTACAAGACCAAATATATATATCTCTCATAAGTTACAGTATCACAGGTATATACCCAAAATGGAATTGCTGGATCATATGGTAAATCTGTTTAATTTTTCTGGAAATGTCCATACTGTTTTCCTCAATGTCTCAGTCAACTCAAGCTGCATAAAAAATATGGGCTGAGTGGTTTAAATACAGACAATCATTCTCTTACAGCCATAGAGGGAGGGTGGGCATCCAAGATCAGAGTGCCATCAGGGCAGGTTTCTGATAGGGTCTCTCTCTTAGTGTGCAGACAGCCCTCTTTCATGCCTAGTGTCTCTTTTCATAAGGACACCAGTCCTATGGGATCACCTTCCTAAAAACCCATCTCCAAATACAGTCCACAAGTGGATAGTAGGGTAGATAATCAGCCCTTAACACCAAAGCAGTTAGCTATCATCCCCAGTTGTTTACTCCCCTTTCAGGAAAACTCCAAAAGCATGTGTTTTGTCCCTTAACCCACTGTCCCTGACACCCACACCTGGTCTACCCAGGAAACTGCAAGATGGCAGATTGAAACCAGCCACAAGTGCCCACAACCCCTCCTGCGCTATATGCATGTGCTTCCTGCCTGCCCCATCTGGCTTGCCTGCTGGGTCGCTTCATTCACTGTCACTTTCACTCAAATCCACTGGTCAGGGACCTTCAGAGTGAAACCATGCTATCCTGTAGTGTGAGGTTAGGGGTGTCCTTAGGAGTCTCTTCACCTCCACTTAACCTCATCCAGTTACATGATTTCATAGTGTCCACAAGCCAATGGCTCCAAGTTATGCCCACAGTCCAGGCATTACTTGCAAATCCCAGACCCAATGGCTTATTTGACACTCCCCCGGCATGTTTGATATTCTGTGTGTTATGTACAAGCCTGGCTTCCACATCTCCCTAGAAACCCACTGCTCCAGCACTCAGCAGCCCACCCTCCACTGGACTCAGTATTGCCTGCACACCCCTCACATCCATGAGGTCCCCATGTGTCACCTGGACTCTCCCCAACTGAACCCACAGCCCCACACACCCCTCCAGGCTCATCAAAGTCAACTCTGCCAGGTCTTTGGCCTCCTACCCGTTCCCTCCCTCAGCAGACCTCCCAAGACCACACAACTTGCCCCCACCTCAAGATTGGTCCTAGATGCCACCTCCCAACAAAGCTGCTCTGACCATCTATGGATGCATTTCTCCAACTTTCTATTTGAAATTTTTAATCTACAGAAATTGTGAAAGAATAATAAAATAGCCCTGGCCAGTTTGGCTCAGCGGTTAGAGCGTCGGCCTGCGGTCCGGAGAGACCCGGGTTCGGTTCCCGCTAAGGGCACGTACTTCGGTTGCAGTTTGTCCCCAGCCTTGGTTGGTTGTGCGGGTGGCAGCCACTCGATGTGTCCCTTCACGTCGATGTTTCTCTCTCTCTCCCTTCCTCGCTCTCTCCCTCCCACTCTATCTGTACAAAAAATGGAAAATATCCTCGGGTGAGGATAAAAAACAAAAAACAAACAAACAAAAAAAAAAGAATAATAAAATAAACTGTACCACCCTTCACCTAGATTCAGCAATTGTCAACATTTTGCCCTGTCTGCCTGTCTGTCCGCTATCTTTTTGTGGTCTTCTGCTCATGAAGCTCCCACCTTCAGTTCTGGCCCCTCCTGGGGGCTGTGCTGCCTAAACCCTGCTTTCCCTGATTTCCCAGTTGGGCCATCTTTGTGGTAAGGGGCATACCCCTTCGTGGTAAGAGGCACAAGCAGCTTGACCAGAGCCCCCAGGCCCTTTGTCCCCCACCTAACTGGCTGCCTGGCTGGTCACAGGCCTGGTATGTGGCTCCCCTGGCCACTAGCCCTACATGGAGGTCTTCCTCTGCCACCAGGCATTCCAAGTGACCCAGCACCTCCCTGCCAGCCCCTGAGGACAGCACTGGGTGGCAGGCACATTCCTCCAGCCTTATGTCAGCTTGTACCCAATTGGCCCTGCTGCAGGAAGGACCAGCAGACAACATGGGGTCACTTGGAACCTTCCTAACCTCTCTATCCAGGTTAAGCTCAGCCTGCTTCACTACCTGGGCTGTTTAGATGCAAATTAACTCAAATGATGTCAAATGAACCTTCCAGCTCCTCCTCACTTGGCAACACTGATGGGCCCAGACACACATGTGGCTGGTGGCTGCCTCAGTGGATGGAACAGACAGCACCTCCCACAATTTCGGAGTCTGCCAGCAAGTGCTGCTCTAGGTTCCCTCCTCCAGGAAACCTTCCTGGGTCTCTGCACCAATCTGTCCACCCTGACACTAGGGACCCTGGCACGTGAGCACTACCCAACTGCTGCCCCTTCTCAGTCCCCACTGCTGCTTCTCATGCCACAGGTCTTGTGGGGGAGCTGTGGCCTGGCTTAAGGAGGTTCCCATGAAGCCTTACCTGGGCCAGGCAGGTGCTGGGAATGCAGCTGGATGCAAATGTGCACTCTCTCCTGTCTTTGAGGCCACTGGACTGGAGTCATCAGGAGGAGTGGGGAGCTGAGAGCTGGAAAATGGTGGGTGTGGGGGTCTGACCCCACTTCCCAGATGCTGCTGAGCCAGGGTGGTTTCCTGTTATTCTCTCCTCATGGCCTCCTCCCTTCCCAGAGGCAGGATAAGGAAGCTGCCCCATTCTGGGGGTGTCAGAGCACCTCCTCCCTGCAGCTCCCTGCAGTGTCCCTGAGCAGCTGGAGAGCTGGCTCCAGCCATGGAAACAGATGAGAATGAGACCAGAAGGCCATTCCATCTGATCCTGCCCCAGCCACTCCCCAGGCTGGCCCTACCCCAGCTTGGACCTGAGCAGGCCTCATAAAGCCCAGGGATCCCACAAGGCACTGAAGCTTATCTCGCTGGCCTGCTCCTGAGCCAGGACAGCAGAGAGCAGGATGAGCAAGGGGGACAGTTCTGTACCCAGGTTCAGCCCTTCATCCTCATGGCCATCCCAGGTTGACAGGGAAACTGAGAGAGTTTCTTGTTTGTTTGTTTTTTAAGTAGTTAAGTGGGCACAAAGTATCATGTTGAATGGTCAGACTGGACTCCACTTCTTAGAGTTAACAGACTTGAGCATCTTAGACACCATGTCTGAGTGGAAGATGGCCAACCATGTTAAGGTATCAGCTCAGGCATGAGATAGATGGTGGTTGTGTCACAGCATCAAGAAATTGGTCTTATAGATGGGGCCATGGATGACAAAGAGGTTGGCTCCTCAAGCCTGGGACAGCCAGTGACAACAGAACCTAAGAACCATCAAAAGCTCACAGAACTGTCCAGCCTGCATGCTCAGTGGTTGGGCATCGACCCATTCACCAAGGGGTCGCTGGTTCAATTCCCAGTCAGGACACATGCCCAGGTTGTGGGCCCAATCCCCAGTGGAGAGCATGTAGGAGGCAGCCAATTGATGTTCTCTCTCATCAATGTTTCTATCTCTCACTCCTTCTCACTTTCTCTCTCTCTAAAACAAATAAAGGAAAAAAATTTTTTTAGAGAAGCTCACAGAACTGACAAGATCCAGGTGGTGCATGCAAGCCCCCAAGTTCCTGAAACAGGAGGCCCGTGCCTTGCCCGTGGTGATCAGAGTTTCAACTGGGCATATACTTAAGGTGGAGCCTTAATGCCCAGAACTTCAGATGGAGCTGTATTTGGAGATAGGGCCTTTAAAGAGGTAATTAAAGTGAAATGAAATCACAGGATGGATCCTCATCTTATATGACTAGTGTCCTTATAAGAGGAGTACATTAGGACACAGAGGGATGAACTTGTGAGGACACAGGGAGGAGATGGCCATCCAAACACCAAGGAGAGAGGCCTCCAGGGAACCAGCCCTGCCCATAACTGGATCCTGGACTTTCAGTTTCCAGGACTGTGAGAAAGAAATGTCTGTTTAAGCCCCCAGTCTATGGTATTTGTTATGCAGCCTGAACTGACAGACACCTTTCAGAATAGAGCCTCCATTTGTTTAGGAGGCTGTGTCTGAATTAGGAAGGGGGCTGGAGGGCAGGGATGTCCTGGGCAACAGCCCCAAAGCCCCTTCTCCTAGCACCACCAAAGCTGCAGTCCCTGGCCACCATCCCGTTGTTCCAGTAGCAGCAACTGACGTCTTTGAGAAACTTCAAGTCTGTCCCAGTGGAAAGGCAACTGCGAATCTCTAGAGTACATGAGAGCATCAGCGTCCACATCCCCTGCCAACTCCCACCTCCAGGGCTTCAGCCCTACTGTTTGGGCCGGGACCCTGGGCAGGATGCAGGCCCGCCCCACACTCGCGGGAGGAGGAGGGGCAGCTCATGTGCTGGCGCCCTCGCGAAGAGGAAGGAGATGCAGTCCAGGGTTGCCTCATTTTCCCCTATAGTAGGAAGACTCGGAATTGCTTCTTGCTGTACAGGAAGCAGCACGTGGACTGGAGACTAGGGTGGTGGGAAATGGCTTCTGCAGGAAGTGGGGACAGCACTGTACCCCAAACACCCAGGTAAGGCACCCTTGGGCGTCACACCTGGGCTGCTGCAGGGAAGCAGGGAAAAGGCCACTCTGTTCAGAGCCCTTGTCTTGAGGCTCTGGCCGGGTCCCAGGGAGGCTCCGAGGGAAGGACTAGACACATGGGTCAGAGTATCTCAAGTCGTCTCTGTAGTGGATGATGGGGGGTGTGGGGACAGTGCCCTAGCCACAATCCAGCACACTACTCCGGGCTTAGGGGCCAGAAAACTGGGGACCTTGCGGTTGCCAGGCCCGTCCTCCCCTCTTACCCCAGGACAAAGAGGGGGCTCTGGTGGGAAGGGGCAGTGATACAGGGCAGAGGGTGCCCTTCCCAAGGCCAGCGAGGGGCGGAGGGGGTGGATGGTGTTCTTCGTCCAGCTCATCCAGTACCCAGCCTCATCTCTGAGTGCCCCACCCGGTGCCTGGCAGTTAAGGGAGGACTGAAAGCACTGGGGTCGGTGCCTCAGATCCACACGGTGGTCTTCCCCTCCTTGCTGCTGGCACTGCCTTTCTCGGAGCCCGCCCTGGGTTTGGCGCCCAGCCGGCCCTGGTCCCCGCCCGTGCCCCTCGATGTGGCACTGCCTGACCCGGAGGCGGAAGCACCAGCTCTCAGGGGCCCCGGTGTTGTTGTGGGGAGACCGGGGCAGGGCGGGCGGCCACTGTCCCCTAGTAGTGTGCGCCCATTCCGCAGGGCTCGAAGCGCCGGGTTGGGGAGGTCCTGGTCGTGGGCGCGTGCACGCTCTACTGCGCGTACCACCAGGCTGTAGTCAGGTGGGCAGGCAAGGCCTGCGGACGTGGTGGGTATGGGGCAGGGCTGTGGGCGCTGCGCGGGAAGGAGAGAGGTGGGCGCCGGACGACGGGCGCGCACGGCGTCCTGCGCACTGCCCAGGCCCAGATGTGCCATCTCGCAGAGGTTGAGCAGCAGGCAGAGGCAACTGACCACATACATGACCAGCAAGAAGACCGTCTTCTCGGTGGGCCGCGACACGAAGCAGTCGACGACGTGCGGGCAGGGCTGACGGCTGCATGGGAAGAAAGGCGGCACCTCGAAGCCGTACAGAAGGTACTGACCTACCAGGAAGGCCACCTCGAAGGCAGCCCTCGCCACCAGCTGGGCCACGTACACACGCATCAGGCCCTCGCTCTGGATGCGCCGCCGCCCATCATGAGGCCCGTTGGGGCCCGGGGACCCCACCGCCTTGGCATCTCGGCAGGCGCCCTTAGCCGCGCTAGAACCCTCCACCTCATCCTCCTCTCCTAGGCCTTCTGCTGTGCCTGGCTCCTCAGCTTCCTCACCCAGGCCCAGCATGGGCTCCTCCTCTCCCAGGTCGATGGGCTCGGGCCAGCTGGGGTGGGATGGCAGAGGCAGCGGTAGTGGCGCTCGGGACCCCCGTTTGTGGTACGAGGTACGGCGGTGCTCATATTTCGTGGCACGGGCTAGACGGTGCACGGCGTAACCAAGGTACATGACGGAGGGCGTGGAGATGACCACTATCTGGAAGACCCAGAAGCGTACGTGAGACAGGGGTGCGAAGGCGTCGTAGCAGACATTGTCGCAGCCCGGCTGCCTGGTGTTGCACATGAACTTGGTCTGCTCGTCCGAGTAGATGGACTCGCCTCCTACAGCCGTGAGCACGATTCGGAAGACCACCAACACAGTGAGCCACACCTTGCCCACGAACGTGGAGTGGTGGTGGATCTCCTCCAGCAGCCGCGTCAGGAAGCTCCAGCTCATGTTGGTCATAGGGGCGGGGGTGCGGGACCTGTGGGCCACAGCAGAGCTCAACCCGGGTTAGGGAGGAAGAGAGCAGGAGTGGGAGAGTAGGGGTTGGCGGAACCTGAGGACTAAGAGGAGCTCAACCCTGGGTGGGGGATTAGAAGCAGAGGGTGGGGGAAGCAGGGGGGGAGTAGACCTAAACCCAGGGCCAGAAAGAACGCTAGGGCAGGGGTAGTGGTGACTGGAGCCAGGGCCCCAGAAGGGAACTTAACTGCCTTCCACTGAAGGGACAGCCCCTCCAGGAGCGCTACTCCCACTCGGTCCTGAGCCTGTGGGGGGTGGGGACGATGCATACACAGAGTGGTGGGTCCTGAGTGAGCAAAGGACAGACCCCACACAGATGGACAAGAGGCTGTGTTGCTCCAGCTGACCACTCACCCCTCACAGACCCCAGGTCCCAGTGGTCTCCAGTAGAGCCCTCCTGCACTCCTCAAGCTCCCCAGGAAAGCTTGGCTCTGTGAAAGCCTCACACATACCCCACATCTGGGGACTCCACCCTAGGCCCTGAGAGCCACAGGGAGTCAACTGGGTGAGCCAACTTCATGGGGTTGACAGGAAATCAGAGGCCAGCTCTAGAGTCCAGGGCCTGCACAGCTTTAGCCCCATGCACACTGCCCCTCCACACTCAGTCCTCAGCAGCACCCAGGCCAAATGGAGTCCTGTTCCCAGCAAGGGGTGTGTGGGTGGGGCTCCAGCTTGCCCAGATCCCCAGTGCCTCACCCAGTCCAGCCTCCCATTCCCCCCACTCTGCAGCTTCATGAGCCCCTAGGTCCCCCAGCAGCATAACCCTCCCCCATTCACATCCTGCACAGGGGATCTGGTCCCTCTGCCTCTGCAAAGGCCCCCCCCCCCCCAGGCTCCTTCATGCCCTCCCTCTGGTCCAGATGCACTAGGGACTGCTTGCTCAACTCTCTCATGGGCACCCTCATGTCCTCTGCAATCATAGCAGGAAATCCCAGCGGGGGGGGGGGGGGGGGTAAGGCCAGGCATTTGTCCAGGGTGGAACCATGTCCAGCGAGGTGCACAGTGACCATAAGTCACCTGTGACACTCAGAGACAGCAATGGGCCAATCACCACATACTGGATCAGTGCCCCTTTCAGACCAGCTGAACCCTGGGTGGGCCTGTATCCAAGAGAAGGGCCTCTTTGGGCAGGGCCATATGACCCCAGTTTCCTGAGCCTCCAAAGAGGGGCTGTACCTCCCAACACCCACCTTCCGTACTCCACAACCAAAGCCAGTCAGTACCTGCTCCTGGATAGTCTGGGGAAGAAAAACCCTGAGTGCCCAATGCTTCTGGCTCCCTCCCTCCTAGAACATGCCTGTGAGGCAGTGCGAGCAGGTGTGGGATGGAGAAGTAGAGACAAGCGGGGGCTCCAGGCCTTCTTTATTCAACTTGGTCTCTCCCCTGGTTGGAAGAGGGGGGTAAGCCAGGTTTCCTGGGGAAGTGACCCTTCTTCCTTATATCTGTGTACATGGCCCATGTCAGAGCTACACATATGCAATGCAAACACAGACACACATTCACTCAGACACATGTGTACAGATGTACACCCACACTCAAAGATATATATGCCCACTCACATGAGTGTATACATAAACAAACACCCTCATGCACACGGAGTTATCTCACAAACATGCAAACACATGAGACACATGTACACAGACATGTGCCCTCACATGTGCATATACACTCACGTACATGTGCAGACACTCAGGTACAGACTGCAAGTCCAGCCGTTCAGGGCTGCCTTCTCCCTCAGTCTGCCTTAGGCAAGGACAGAGAATCCCTCAGGCCTGAGGCTGGCTGTTGTTTCTCCCCGCCAACCTCCACTCTCCTCCAGGACCTGTTCCACTCCCTGACCTGACACATCACAGGAGGCTAAGGCCCAGGCCACCTCTGCAGGGACCCAGAGAGGAGATGGCAGAACAGCCTCCACTTCTTCCCTCTCTCCCAAGACATAGGGAGAGTCTTGGGGTTTAGCAGACCTCACCTGTGCTTTGGGGGTCAGTATTAACAACTGGGGCAAGTCTTTGTATCTTGTTTGGCAATTCCCATGGTGGAAATGCTCCCCCATGCCCGTGACCAACTCAGATGTGGTAGGGGGATCTTGAGACCAGCTCTAGCTTGTCACGGGTCAGACCCTGCTCTGCGGAGCTCATGTAGGTGCAGTCAGGACCATAGAGACCAGACATGCAGAGAAGAGAGCAGATGAGTGGCCCTGTGGATAGTTTAGGGGCCATTCTGGGAAGCAGGAGGGAGGAAGGAGTGAACCCCTCCTCTCTCTGTTACCCCAGCACCATGGGGGATCTCAGACAGCCTTCAGGCAGGGGGCAGAGGCTCTGGCTCTTCAGACCAGGTACACGTCCATTGCTCATACATGTGTGGGCAGGACCTGTGTCACACATGAAGTCAAGGTGGTTATTCCACACTATGGGGGCTGGCACTGCTCAGCTCTGGCCCGGAAGACCCCTGCCCTGGTATCAGTGACATGCACAAATCCTCAAATACACACCTTCAGCTGGTGCTGCTTCCTGACCTGGCACATGGATACAGAGGACCAGTCCCAGCACCTTAGGAAACGCCCCTTGAGCATCTGATGGTGCCAGAGTAAGGAAATGCTAGCACAAGCCCAGCCCCACTTCCCCGTGCGCGCGCCAAGATATGCATGCCAGGTGGGGCCCCGGGGGAGAAGTGAGGACCACATGCCTATTGGGGGGAATTCAGGGCATCAAAGTTCATGGGAAAACTCAGGAATATGAGGGAAGTGTGTGCTGTGGTTTTGACAGCATACCATTATTGGTGCATTAATTGTGTAACAGTGAATGGGCATGGGGGGTGGATAACATGGGACCTCTTCCTATCTGGTCTCTCAAACTTTTTTGTAAACCAGTGTTGTAAAATAAAAACCTTAATTGAAATAGTTACTGCCCTATCACTCTGAGCCCCTCTCCCACTCTTTTCCCATGCTTGCATGTATTTGTCTGCTTGGAAGCTGCAAGATCAAAGTAGGGACTTTTACTGGTGATCTGTTCGGGGCTGCAGAGAGGCTATCAGTGTTGCTGGGAGGCTGCGGCCAGCAGCGGCTCAGCTGGGCCAGTGGGAAGGAGGATGCTGGCCCTTCAGGGATCCAGGTCCTGGGAGTTTGCAGGGACCTTTGTTCAAAGGGAATCTCACTCATAGCAAGTGTAGGCAAGGGCCACTCAGGGATCTAGAATGAGGGACTGGGTGTCCCCTGTGGGTCAGAGTCTGGGAGGTGTCAGATCTTAAATGGTCAGCAAGGGTGTTGGGAGGGAAGGGTGATTGTTGAGCCAGTGTGAGCTCAAATAGGGGTTCCCCATGACAGCCGGCCAGTCATCCCCACCAATAGCCTGAAGGGAAGCACCTGACTGTGGGCTTCAGTAGGCATCAGGATGGCCTATTCCTGGCAACAGCCTGCTACTCCTAGTCCAGAACCAGAGAGTGGCCTCTGCAAAGATGGGCAGCTGGGCTCTCCCTGGTTAAAGTACCTCCAACTCCCAGGTCTGAACAAAGGTCCTGGGGCAGGAGGCAGGCAGGACTGAGAGCCAGAGACAGCTCAGTGCTATCCTGCAGTGCAGCAGGCTATGGCCAGACCAGCAATTTTCCTTCCCATTCCTGGCCACACTTCCTCCCAGCACCCTTTAGGGCCATGGTAGGTGGGAATTCCTCTACTGAAGTGGGGCTGTGGGAAGGTCCCCAGTGCTCAGTTTGCCATGTGGCAAGGGGACTCTGCCCTGGGAACCTTCCAGCACTGGAATGGGGTCTCAGGCAGCTCTTTCCCCTTCCTGAGGATATGCACCTGGCACTGATAGCTCTTATCCAAAGGTGAGCAACCATGAGTACCTCAAGGTGGCTCTGCCCTGCCAGGCTGAGGCCTTAGCTGGAGAGCCTGCCTCCACCCACTCACTGGCTGAGGGTCCCAGGCCTCACTCAGGCCTGGTGCTATATGCCCACTTCCCAACCGTACCTTAGCACTCCTCCCAAGTCTCCCCTTGTCAGCTCTGCAGTGATCCCATGATCTATGGGGTTCTGTCTTTCCAGGTCCCTCCCCAGGATATTAATTCCCATCCGGGAATTCCGAGTTGTATTTTGCCTAGACTCCCTGGCCACCAAAGACCCAAACCCCAGGCATGGGGACCCTCTACAACTTTACTGCAGCTCCTATGCACACTAGAACACCCCCTCCCACCTCCGCCTTGCCCCAGCCCCAGCCCCAGCAGCCCAAGGAGGGTTGCAGGCCCTGACAGATTGGATCCCAACCTGGGCTCTCAGCCAAAGCACTCATCCTCACAGGGTCTTCAGGGCTGGCCTCATCCATTTCTGGACTCTGACTCACACATGTACACACTCACATGCATTCACACTCCTTTCTGGGAAGCTCCCTCCACCTGCTCCGCAAATGCAGGGAGGTTAAAAGACACTTACGTTCTGAGGAGGGTGGGTACACCTAAGACAGACACCTCAGTTTCTTCCCAGGGTTGCAAGGTACAGGTAACTGGGCCACAAGGGACTCTGAGGGGACATAGACCCCACTGAGGATCCAGGGGACCCTCTCTGCTGCAATTGGAACTAGGAAGTGAGGGGAGTTCCTCCTGAAAGTGTGTGACAGGCGTGGGCCTGGATAGTATAGCCCAGACAACACCAGCAGCCTGGCCTGTGCTCCTTGCAGGCCTCGCCAGGCACTGCTGATCCAGGGTAGGATGCAGAGCCCCCACCCACCCACCCCTGCAGGGTGCCCACACTCTTTACCTCCTAACAACCTCACTGCCACCTCTCAAACTGCCCTAGATAAAGCCACTGCTGCCACTTTCTCAGAGCAGAGCATGGCTCACTCCTTTTTCTCTGTATTCCCCCACCCCTTTCATGTCTACCTGGTACCCCCACAGGCCAGCACACCACAGGCCCTGAGCAGGCACAGCCCTGCCCTGTGCAGCAGCCCTGCCCACTCCTGCCCCTTGCCAGGCCCTCTGCCCACTCCTGCTCATCATCCTTGCCCTGGAAACTCAGAAAACTCACTAACCATGTCTGCAGCACAATGGGGGCCCCTCCTGGAGGACATGAATCTGTTCTGCTCTCTGCTCACACCCAGGGCCCAGACCTGAGGACCTGGGACCCATGAAGACTTAAATCCCAGGCTATGCAGAGGCTGGCTGAAGCCAGATCAGGAGCAATGCGGTGCGCTTGACCGTCAACATATAGGGGTGGGGCTCCCAGATTTTCCCCAGACCTGAACAGGCTGAGGCTCCAGCCTCTGGACACACTACAACTGCCTAACTGGGGTAGGCTAGCCAGTCCTGCACACCCTAAGGGGCCCCACCTGCTGGGGGAGGTAATGGGTACACATCACTTCCCTCCCTGCTCACCAACTGGTCCAAGCAGTCCCTACAACGGCCTCCCCCCACCCTCAGGTCTTGTAATCCCAGAAGACCCTGGTGGTCAGGTCTTATTCCTGAGCAGTGGGCTTGAGAGAGACCCCCAGAATGAAGGGACACCTGGCTCGGCCCAACACCTGTCATCTCCTGGGGATGGCCATTTCAGGAGAGGCCAGACCAGGCCTGAAATTCTGGGGAGGGTGACACTGCTCAGCTCCAAAGAGCACCCCACCCCTGATCCCCTAGACAGCACCTTACCTTTTTCAGGCCAGAAAATGCAAGTCCCTCTGAGCCCTTCCACCTGCTGGCTGGTCGGACACTGGGCTCCAAGGGTGTGCACCCAGTAGAATCCTGTGCCGGGCCCAGGGCCACCTCTCACCACCAAGCACAATGCAGGGGGAGGCCTTCAAGGGCCCCATTGTTTCCCCCAAGGCCAAGGGTCTGAATTCCCGATTGTTCCTGGAGCTGTATGGGGCGAAGAGAAGAAGGGGCCTCCCCCAGGCTGCACAGTAAGTTGGTAGACAGCCTGGCCTTACCTCACCTGGCCTGGGGCCTACTTAGTGCCCCATGCCTGCTGTCCCATGTCTAAGCCCAACTCCCGCCAGGTCTCCCTCTGTGCATGGGGGTACAGACGACGCCCAACTTCCTCTACTATTTCTGCCTCCTCCGGGTCTGTGTCCACCATTTGTCTTGGATGGACTACCATACTACAGGCCACAACAGCTGCCCTGGCCCAAGATGAATGGCAAGGGAGGTGCCTTCGCAGACTCTAGGGAGCCTGGAACCTCAACAGAGGCCCCCAGGTGTCTTCCCAGAGCTGATCTCTCCCAGACCATCAGGCCAATTGGGTTCAGTGGGCTGTGCATAAGGCCAAGAGCATATGGCACATAGAGGATTCCAGGATGCAGGGGTCGAGCCCCTGAAGTCTCAGCCCCCTTCCCAAGTCAACAGCATCTGTCTCTCACCTGGCTCAGGACCAGAAGGGGTGGCTGGGGCAAGATGAGTCCCCCAAGGCCTTCTCCTCCCAGCCTCAAGGTACAATGAGACCATGGGAGAGGTGTGTGCTCCCTATCAGCCTCACCCTGCCTCAGGGCAGGAAGCAGTCCAGCCTTGGGGGACCCTCTAGTGCCCCTGGGCAGGGAATCCCTGCTCATCTCTGAGATGTGGAGCTGGGGTACAGAGAGCCCAAGCAAATAGTGTGCAGTTGGGGAGCAGCCCCACTGGCCAACAGCCCAGAGTAACAGATATGGAGTGGAACCTACAAGGCCAGAATGGCAATCCATGGACTCATGTACACTCTAACCAGCAGCTCTTTATTAAGATGCAGACCTAGTTTCCACAGGAGAGTGGGATTGATCAGGGGGCACTCAGAAATGGGCATGGAGAGCAAAATGAAAAAGGTAGCCAGAGACACCCTGGCCACTGAGATGGGTGCAGGGTCCTGGTCCAGGGAGGACAGATGTTGGCATCCTCAGGAACAGCCAGTCCCTTGAGCCTTCTTGATTTCCTGTGGGAGAGAGAAAGAGAGGCTTGCCCTGGATTCCAAGTCTGCTGTTCAAAGACCTTTCCTTTGCAGAGATCTATCCCTGACCCCTGGCAGAGCCCACCTCCGAGAGTGCCTCCTTCAGGGTCCAGTACGCCTTGTCCAGGCTGTCATTGATGATAATCAGGTCAAACAGGCCGGGCTCATTGCCTGAGGTGAAGAGGGGGTGGCACAGGGTCAGTGGATGACAGCTCTTGCCCCTGCCTCCTACCTCTGGCAGATGAGTTGTCTGCTGTGGAGGAGGGGGAGGGGACAATGGCTGCATCCACACACTCACTGCTTTCCATGTCTGCCCGGGCAGCAGCCAGCCTCTTGGCCAGGCTCTCCTCTGTCTCTGTGTTCCGCTGCCGCAACCTCTGCTCCTGAGGTGCCTAGGGAGGGTCAGAGCCTGGGGGGCAGCCCTAGCCCCTCCTCCACCCCTCCCCTGCCTGGCTCCCCGCCCCCACCAGGACTTCCAGTGAGGGTGGCTGCACAAAGATGTAGATGGGCCTCAGGTCAGTCTTCTTTATGTTTCGTACACCCTGGAGGTCCACATCCAGCACACAGATTCGATTCATGGCCTGCACCACACGCACAGCTGCTTTGCTAGGGAGGCAGGAGTTGAGGGGCCAGTCAGTGAGGGCTCTTGGACCACAGCACCCCCACCACCTCCACTGCCCTCCCCTGGGGTCCTGTCTTCTCCACCCCTGCTCTGGGCCTGGCAGAAGATGGGGAGTCTGCAGGCCCACCCTGACCCCAGCATTTGCTCCCCCCTTCCAAAAGCACTGCTTCAGTAACCCATGCATGCTAGGCCATCTGCTAGGCTGCAGGTGGCAGTGAGGAGGGGTAGGACGGCCCTGGGTCTCAAAGCTGGGCTCAGGGCTCCTGGGTACCCACCATCTAAGGATAACAGCAGCCCCTGTAACCCCTTTACGGGGCCAAATGCCTTTGCCAACTGCACCTAGGGTGAAGCCTATTGGTCCCATGGGGGCTCAGGTACAGGCTGCTCATAGCAAGCCTTGGCCCGCCTGTGCAATGATGATGTTGTGTGTGTGTGTGTGTGTGTGGTGGTGGTAGTGGTGAGGGGGGGCAGCTGTTGCTGGGCTGGGAACTCTCCCAGGCTGCCCTATTGGTTGGATGGGAGGAGGGCCAAAGTGTAGCCTACAGACCTCTGAGAGCCAGGTCCTCTGAGTCTTCACTGCACATCAGCCCATCACTTGGTCCTGTTCCCAAAGCAGCCTAACCAGGTGGAGTGGGTAGGGGATAGGAGGGGAAGCCTGGAAAGCCCAATATTTCTGCCCCATTTTGACTCCTGGAAGGGCTGGGTCCCTCACCCTTACAGCCTGTAGAGAGAAGCCCTTGCCTGGACTGCCTACTCTAGGTCCCTGGGTGTTTGGATGGAGAGAGGATGCTGAGTGTGGCCCACCTAGTCCCATACAGGTTCCCTGAGAACTCAGCATGTTCGATGAAGTCCCCAGCAGCAATGTCCCGCTGCATCACTTCTCTGGTCACAAAGTAGTAATCTACAAAGAGCAGTAACTGTTGAAGCTGCCCATAGCCAGGCTACCATTGCCTATACAACCACACATGGGCAGAACTAGATCCTTTTCTGGGCCTGTCTGCCTATGTCCATCCACACCTAGAGCTATTCCAGCCAGTGAGCAGGGAGATATATCAGAGAAGGGGGGACAGACACCACTTCTCACACTATCTTCACTGAAGGGGGCCTGGAGAATACCAGCTTCCACAGAAGAGGTTGAGGACCTGGAGACTGCCAGGTTCTGGGGGAAGGGCAGGGGGGTCCTGGTGACTGCAAGCTTCAGTGGGGGTGGGGGGACTTTAATGCTTTGCCTCAGAAAGGTACAAACAGCCTACCAAGGTTACAAAAGATACTTGTCAGAGCCCTAGATGGTATATATAGTTGACCCCACCTACACCGCCACATGTAATGCTGTGCACCTGCCAGGAACAGTGCCCCACGGCTGCCTGGTGCGGGGATCAGAGCCCCCACCAGCCTCTCACATAGATAGCTGGTGTCAGCATGAGATTTGATGTCTATTACTTAACTAGGCCTGACCACCCATCCACCCTGAAGAAGGAACCCCATCAGATGGGGAGAATGAGGCCATGCATCACCCTGACAAGTGTGTGTGGTGGGGGTGCTCTAGACCTGCACTGAGTGGCAGGGCCAGCTCACCTTTGCCATTTTCCTCTCCAGGCCTCGGGTCCCTCGTGGTGTCTAGGAACAGGCACCTGTGACCAACCTAGGACATCAAGAACCCACACATCCCATCCCCAGGGCCTTCCCGCAGGGCCCATCTCAATCTCTATGGGGGCTATGCGGGGGGGTGGGGGGTGTCAGCAGTATGGGCATATCCCATGTGTGTGAGGGAGGGTTCCTGGGGGTGGGGGTTAGCAGTGTGGGCATGTCCCTATGTATGTTGGGGTGTGGAACTCCAGGAGGGTCAGCAGGGCCCCCAAACCCCTAGGAGCTCACGGGACACGCTGAACCCGAAGATGCTGCCGTGCTCCTGCAGAAGTCTCTTGAGCAGGGTGCTCTTTCCAGCCCCAGAAGGTCCACTCAGGACGACAGGCCTTGGTCCTGACATCCCTGTGAGCGAGTAGGAGCAGATATCAGCAGGCCTGAGGAAATCGCGAGTGGGGTGGCTATAGTCACAATCCCCCAGCTCTCCCCAAGAACTGGACAGACCTGAGGGCCATTCTCAAACCTTGGCTGCTCCTTCCCGATGGGTGGGCTCCCCAGCTGTGCACTCCTACCCCACCCGTGGAGCCTGGATTTCTGCTCCAGAGAGGGACACATCTGGGTCCCCACCCCTGCATCTCCTGACACCATGCTCTAGAGATGGCAGAGGTTAAGGTCAGAGGAACCTGAACCCTGTTCTGGGAACTTCCATAAGGAAGTGAGGGGTCGATTCAGAGATCACAGCTTCCTGACCCCCGCCCCCCCACCCCCGGCCCAGCCCACAGCACAGGGCTCAGACATCTGCCACAGGTGAGAGAGGGTGAAGGGAGTTTGGGAGGCATCAACCAGCCAGCTCTGTGCCTGCCTGATACCTCAAGCCCCCTCCCTAGAACAGGACCTACCTCCTGAGTGGGACTCTGTCAGCCTGGGCTGCTCAGGATGAGCTGGGAGGGGTGAGTAATCCCAGCCTGCTCTGACCTCTTAGCATTAAACTCTTCCCAGGGCTATCAGCTCCACCCACTTGATGCCTTCAGGAAGAGGACGTTGCTCCTGGCCCTTCAGTAGTGGCCTGCCTACCCACCCAACTGCATGAGCTTGACAGCAGGAAGGCCAGGTGCAAGTATGCCCTGCCTCAGAGAAAACTCCCAATGGGCATGTGGGAGCTGTAGCAGCTCCCTACACAAGCCTGGCTCTGCAGGCTGTCTGGGGGCCCTCTAGTAAGGTGTGGAGGCCCCCAGGGTGCAGTTAGTGGCCAGCAAACCAGCACTCAGATCCAGGAGGGATGGACCATTTGGCTCAGGGATGCCCTGTTGCCCATTCCCTCCCCTAGCAGAGACCCCATCAGGCACTGCTTTCCTAATCCACAATGTAGGCCAACTAGATAATCTAGCTAAAGCACTGCTATTCTAGGACTATCACACCACACACATGCTCCCTGGAGAAGGTGGGAAACAGACAAGGGAGGAAGGGACCCAGAGGAACCTATCAACACTCTGAGTGTCATCTCCAAGTGACTGATTCTTAGCTCCTTAGCCTCTTTCGAGTTTCTAATTACAAAAAGTACTTTGTTTCTATCTAGAGATAATCCCAGTGAACTCCTAGTTCCTCTGGCATCCCAGCTTTCCCATCCAAATACACATACCACCCACACACCTGTGTGCATGTGCACCTAGCTCTAAGCCCATGGTCACTGCCCCTAGCAGAGTGCAGCCCTGTCTCTCTCCTGAGGCCTGGTGCACAGGAGGTCTCATCTCTTCCTCACTGGCACCCTTCACAAAGCCCCATCCTTTGTAGGAAGGATATCTCATGGGCAGCCCAGCCTACTCCCCTGGGTCTGTCCTGACTTTCTAGGCACTGGGTGACTGGGGAGGGGAGTGGGCAGAGGAGAGGCTGAGTGTTACCAGATCCCAAGAGGGACTGAGGAGGCTAGGGCCCAAGCCCCATGATGCCCAGCCTCTGGACTGTGCTGGGTCTCTGCTCCTCCGGCCAGGCAGCTGTGGTTGTCCAGTGGCCTAGAGCTCCAGGACCTAATAGTGTGTTTGGTGCTACAGAACATGAGTTCTTCCAGGGCAGGAGCAGCCTTCCTCCAGAAGGATGAGGTGGAACCTCCTCTTTCTGGCTTCCACTTTCATTCTGCTTGGTCCTAAGACCAGGGCATTGTTATCACCCTACCTCCCTCCCACTCCTCACTCCATGTTCTTCCAAGCAGATACATGGTGATGGTCACAGTGATGGACCAGGAAGCCTACCCAAGCCTTGATCGTGGCAGAAAACCCTCAACCCAGTGGGCACTCAACCCTAGCACCCAATTTGGGGCATCTACTTCCAGGGAGTGGAGGACACAAAGGCTCCCCTACCCTCCTGTTAGGAATGTTGGGAGGTGCTCCCCAGGGGGGGCCACAGAGAAGGGAGGATGGTCCAGACTGCCTGCTTATACAGAAGCCTCTCAGGGATGCTTTGCTCTCTATCCTGTGCTTGCCATGGGCAGGTACCCTGCCCTTGCACCCCCTAACCCCCAAATGTAACTTGGTCGGCAGGACCCAGCGCTCCTTCTCCAACAAGATTCCCTGGCAGTTCCTGCCATTCCCCATGCCTGCAGTCAGACCACACTTCCTGGCTATGAGCTGTGACACCTGGAGACTGCAAACCTGTATAGGACTAGTCTTTAGTTAGGACCAAACACCACACACCAAGTCCCAGTGCTGACACACACCTTCTGGGGCATGTGGCACAGGTCTGCTTCTCACCTCACCTCCAAATGCTGGTTTCTATCCTGCACCCTCCACCCTGTGGTGGGACATGGGGGCAGGGGAGCCTGTTTCACAGAGCAACACTATCAACCTATGGGGAGCCCCTACCCCCAGGCCCACTACCTGCCTGCACTGGGCCAGTGGTGAGCAGGGGATGCATTCACACAGGATTGGCTGGTAGCTGCAAAGCTCACTCCTTGCCTGGCTCAGAATCACTGTGGCCTCCATCCCCTCCACACAGGGTGTCCTCCTCAAACCCCACCTACATCAAGCCCAAGCTCCAGGTGCCCCAGTGCAACCATCACCTGCCCCACTCTGCAGTCTCGCGGTGGTGGGGTCCAGCCTGCTCAGCCTGGCTAAAGAAATGGTCACTGAGTCTTATCCTGTGGGGCCCACAGAACTGAGTCCTGCTTGGAGGTTGGCTCCCAGAGCACAAGGGCAGGCCCACATACACCACACAGGGATGGCCTGGCCCTGCAGAAGTACCTAGAGAGCTGCTGGGGACAGGGGTTTGTCCAGTAACCACGCAACATTAAACATACTCATTAAAGCCACTTTCCACAGAACCAGCATGGGACAGTGCTTTGGCCTCAAGGCCTCAACAATCGAGTACACGGAGACTGACTCTGGCCCCAGTGTCTGCAGCACCAACAGACCGCACGCAATGTGCAAGTCAGAGGAGTCATCTCTTGGGCAGACAGAGCCCTCTAGCTGGGGGGGGGGGGGGGGGGGGGGGAGGTGGGGGGGTGGTCCTATATTCTCCACTTCTTGACTATCCCACAATCCCAAACCCTAGCAGCCTGGCAAGAAATAGCAAAGCTCAAGGACTGCAATAACAACCTGGAATGCTCTCAGACAGAACCCTGCCCAAGGAGCACCCAATGCAGCCAGGCAGCCTTCTTCCAGAAGGATGAGGTGGAACCTCCTCTTTCTGGCTTCCACTTTCATTCTGCTTGGTCCCAAGACCAGGGCATTGTTACCACCCTACCTCTCTCCCACTCCTCACAAGGCACTCAAGATAAGGCGTGACCTCTGGGAACACCTAGAGGAAAGGTCAAGTCCTGCAATCCCACTTGTAAGCAACAAGCCATAGATGGGAAGAAATCTGGATCAGGAGAGCAGGTCATGCCGCATCCCACAAAGAAGCCCTGTGGGGCAGGGCTCTGTGTGCAGGACATGTCCTGGCCAAGTAGCCTTGATAAACCACTCTCCCTTTGGGAACCTGGCTTGAATTGGGACAGCCACAAAGAGGCCAGCCATTTCCTTCTCATTCTCCCCACAGCTGCAGGGACTATTCCTCCCATGAAAGGAAGATGGCCCCCTCAAAAGCATGGGCAAAAGCCACATAGCCCATGCAGGACTTGGGCCTGTCTCAGTGCTGCATGGTATGTCTGGGTTTCTATCCATAAAGAAGGACCAGGATTCAGACCTATACCAAATCCAAATCCTGAACCACGGGCAGAGAGTGGAAGCAGCACAAGACAGGAAGGAAGAGTCCCAGGCAAGCAAGATATGAAGCAGGAGAGGCACAGACCCTACAGGGAATCAGCCTCACTCTCACAGAAAGGAAACCAAGACCCTCAAATGCAGGGGAGATAGGGCTGGCACATGCAGTCAGTAGGGACTGGGAAAGACTGAGGCCCAGCCTATGAAGGGTCAGCAGGGACTTGTAGAAGTACCTGCCCCCATTCCAGCGTTCCAGGGCCTCACCCTCATTACTAACTTTCACTGCTAGTGGGCTGGAGTCACCTCTTTCCACCCCCATCCACATCACAATACCCCCTTCATTTCTGCTCTTGCTCAGATTGATTGAATATGTTTCTCCAGCTATGCTGAACATGCTGCAAAAGACTGAAATGTACAATTTAGATGTAAAAGAAAAAAAATTTTGGTGTGGCTGAACAGAAAAGTAGTGATTGTACCGCTCTAACTCCCAGAGCCTGCTACTCAAGAAAATTACCGATATCACCCATCCCAGCCAAAGATCAAGGACCAGGTCTATGTGTACCCAGAATTTAAACAAAGCCCAAGCACATTGCACCTATCCCACGAGGCCCCCTAACACAACCTGAGGCACGCAATAAGCGACATCCCGGGTGTAAGGAGAGAGCTGACCGGGTGTAAGGTGGCCCTGACCCGGGCATAAGCGAGCTTGTTGTAGCAGGCAGTTGTGTGGCATTCTATGAGCAAGGACAGAGTGGAAACTCACCTGGCAGAAAATTAAGCTTGTTAGTGGTAAGACAGGAAACCCACCCTTCCTAGATCCTCATCGGGGTGAAGGTGGAGGTTTTCCTGAATTCCTCACAGCAAATCATGGTCTGGAAGGTCTAAGAGTGACAGAAAAGTCCAGAAAACCCCAAATTTGGACAGGCATGCTGCCTATGGGATTCACAAGAGGCTGACATGGAAGGTCAAGCCCTGTTTCCCCTCTTCCTGTCCCTGTGGGCCCCACCCCACACTGGCCAGCTGACATCTCAGCTTACAGCCTCCTTCTTCCCCAGTGAGAGACAACAGTGATAACAGGTGAGGTGACATGCCTCACTGCTCCTCCCCAAACAAGCACCTGGATGAACTAGACTCCCTCTCTGTTCCCAAAATAATGTCTAAGAACAGCAGATGGGCAGCTCCAGCAATCTAGACTCAGAGCCAGAGAGAAGCTGAACATCAAATTACCACACAATTCAGGAATGCTCACCCCAAGGACCTGTTCTTGGGTGGATTATCTCTATCTGCATTGCCCAGCAGGGTTTTGGGCCTTGGAGCAGGCCAGAAACCTGCAGTCCCGGGGGTCCCACGAGCTGGCAGGGACTGTGGGGACTCTGCCACACCAGGCTTCTCAGGTGGCCACGTAATGGCCTTTGATCTCCCAGGGTTTTCGGATCTGTTGTGTTCCCCCCCTTGGGTAGGAGTATCAGGCTGCTTCCTCTCCCTGTCCCTTCGCATCCTTCAGGGTCCACAATGGCATCCAGCATGAAGACCTCAGGCTGCAGGAGTTTTACAAGGTGTCTAGAGCTTTCCGAGCCAGAACTTCCTCCTACGTTCTGAGAGCTGGCACAGAGGAACGAGCTTTTAATGTACCTAAGAAAAATGGCTACCAAAAGCACCTTCAACACCCGTACACACAAACACACAGGAGAAAGCTTCAAAACGAAGGGCAGCCCTTTAAATAAAGTTAATTCACCTCCATGAAAATCTTCACTACCCAGTCTTCGTATCACCTGCTTTGCTCGTTAGGACTTTGCGACAAGCCAGCCTTGGAAACCACTGAGGACCGTGGGGTCACTTCCGGTGGCTATCCCACGAGGTCCCCTAACACAACCTGAGGCACGCGAAAAGCGACCTCCCGGGTGTAAGGAGAGAGCTGACCGCGAACGGCCCAAACACGAGGGACCGCGGTGGCACCTAGGAAGGCCCCGTGGAACCTGCGCGCGCCCGGACGCCACTCACCGTCTGTCGCAGAGCGACCCAGGGCAGCCGCCGCCAGCCCCGCCAGCCCCGCCAGCGGGCGCCGCAACATGAGGGGATACAGCCACCTCCCTCAGAGACATACGTCACAGTGCCGCGCCGGCCCACTTCCGCTCGCGGGATTGCGTCAGCGCCGCGCCGGCTCCACCCCACCCTGAGCTCCGCGTGACGGAGCGCTCGCGGGTGTCCTGTGGTTGCGCTGCCTGAGGGAAGGTTGTCGCCTCGGCAATTACCGTGTGCGCGGCGCCGGCCACTCCCGCCTGGCCGTTGACTACCGGGCCTCTGGTCCTTGGGGCCGCTTCGGAGCTCCGTGAGGGTGGCAGGTTGGTGTCGAATTGTGTGGGTAGGGAGGGCTTTCCCGAGGTGGGATTAGGGCCCCGCTGGCATTCACTTGGAAAGCTTACAGCACTTCCCCCTCTTGCCGGGTCACCTCCAAATGAGGGAGGCCTGCAGATGCCCTGCCCTGACAGATCGGGGATAGCGAGACAAACCTGCGCCTCTTGGCCCAGAGGGCTCGTTTCTTGGGGATCTGAATACCGAGACCTCAGGCATCTGATTTTTGAAACTTCTGGTTTGTTCCGCGGAAACCTCAGCACAGACACAGACGCTTCCCTGGGAGTCAGAGCGTAGTAAGTAACCCCGGATGTCGGCTCCCTCCGCGTGCCACAGGGGCCCTTACCTCGATGGATTTTGTCAGAATTAAATGACCTTGGAAAACAAGGTGTGAACCAATCTTAGTTTCCGTTGCATACCATGCTCAGAGTAGCTTCCTAACTCTGTAACTCACCAGAATGGGCCCAGGCCCTTCCCAGATTTACCGAGTGAGGATCTTTGGGAGTAGGACCTGGGCATCTGCTGTTCACAAATCTTCCACCATGATTCTGGTGCCAGGTCAGGACGAGAGCTGATAGGTTACTAGGAGACACTGGCAGTGACCTGGGAATAACACCCCTATTTGTAGATCTTATTGGGTCTGTGGCTTTCTTCCTGGCTAGGATTTGGCAAGCATCAATTACATGGAGAAGCCTGCCTGTTAAAGACTTTTCTTGCTCAGCAGGTCATACCTTGGCTTCCACGTGCCACAGTGGCCCTCAGAAGGAATGGCAGTTGTGGGCAGCATGCTTGGGTAAGCACAAACTTCCAGGCCTTTGTGATTGCTGTCACTGGGCCACCCAAAGGAGTGTCAACTCTGGAGCCTCATGTAGTGCTGCCTTAGGAAAGCCTCCCAAGCCAGTGTGTTTATCTGTAGGATACACACAAGTACAGACAGATGCCTTGCCAGGGTGCTGAAGGAGGAATAGAAGCAACTTGTGACTACTTAACACCAAACAGATGGTGGTGGCAGTCACCTTCCTATTCAGAGCCTAGCCCTGTCCTGGGTCCCTGGAGAATGCCATGGACTTCTTGCTGTTTCCGCTAGAACTGCCTCCCTTTCTGCCTATACCTCTTGCCCCCCTGCCTCCCCAAAATGGGTGTGTTTAGTGTTGCCAGAGAAAGAAATGAGGCTAAGTTTCTTGTTTCTGTGGAATCTGGGGAGAGGAATGTGCCTGAGTCAGTGTGAAGATGGGGAAGGGACTCTTGCTGCAGCATTCCCTGGAGGGCCCTCATCCTGGGAAAGGTTCATATGGGAGAACACCAACATACACCTCAATGGTTGGCTCCGTTCCCTTCCAGGAGCTTCCCCAACCTACTGATCTCAGGTTCTCAGGAGTGGCTGTGCCCTAGACTGCCTGATGCTGCTCAGGTATAGGCTCATCTGGTGCTGGAGCTCCTCCACCATCTCCTTTGAAGGCAGGAACTGGGTTCATTTGGCCAAAAAGTGCTCAGCTAGTGGTCTGGGACTTAACAGTCAATGAGTTGGGTTCTTGCCCCCAGGCCATCAGAATGTAGCAGTGGAGATGGGCCCTCAGCCCTGGGTGTCAGCTGGGAAGTGCAAGGGGTGGGTCTAAATCCAAATTTGCATGAAAGCCATGCCGGAGGGGACTTTGGGGATCACAAGGCAATGCCCCAAAGAGGGTGAGAGGCAGTGCAGGGCCTTGCCCCCGAATATGTGGCCTTCCCTATGTAGGAGGTTTTGAGTGTCTGTCATGTTCTGAAGCTAGTGGGTTCCACAAGTCTTGGTGCACTCAGGCTGCCCCAACAGAATGCTACAGACTGGGCAGCTTATTTCCCATGGTTCTGGAGATGTTCCTCTTCCTGGTTCATATATGGCCACCATCTCCATGTCCTCACAGGGCAGAGAGAAAGCCAATTCCTGTCCCTTATAAAGGCACCATTCCCACTGTAGGGTACCGTCCTCAACAATCTGGAAGCTCCCTGTGCCCACCCCCCTCGGCCTCTTCCCAGATGTGGGGTAGGAGGTGCTCTGACCACATCCCACACCTGGGGGATTGCTGTGGGCACCCACAGGAGCTGGCCAGTCTAGGCTTAGTGGGCACTCTGGTCCCAGGACCTGCAGCTGACCAGCATGTGTATCTGCAGCCTGCTGCGGCAGCATGTGGTGATGGGGGCTGCCCCTGTGGGCCGCTGCCTGCACATGTCTTTCCATCGGGCTGACAGCAGCAGGGCCTCGCTCACTCGTGTGCACAGACAGGCCTATGCACGCCTCTACCCCATGCTCTTGGTCAAGCACAATGGCTCCACCATTCACATCCGATACCAGGAGCCCAGAAGGATGCTAGAGGTAAGTTTCCCTCCTGGGGTATAGGTCCTCTGGAGTCCCCTCTGCCAACACTGCCTTTGCCTCAGTACCAGGGGTTCTCCCAGGGAGGGCGGGCAAGTCATGGAACTCATTCCACACACCAAAATTAGACAGCAGCAGCAGGCTGTATGTATTTTTTTTTTTTTTTTTTTTTTAAAGCATGTCCTGGGTTAACAAGCAGAAATTTCTTTTGAAGAGTAGAAGATTTGAAGGGAGAGAAGTGGCAGACACTTCCCAGTCCCTTCCACTGATCGAGCGAACACCCTCCTTTCACAGATGCCTGTGGACCTGGATGCCCTATCCCAGGATGAGAGGCGGGCACGGATCCACAGACGTGAGGCCCAGCTCCGAGGGAAGGAGGAGGAGCCAGAGCTCCTTGACAACTTTGACCTGGAGCAGTACAAGCAGTTTTGGACCAGGAAGTAACCATGGCCACAAGCTGCCCTGCCTCAGGATACTGTAGAAGGGGAGGGGCATTCATCTTTAAATTGAGTGTCAGGATTTTAAATCCACCTTGACTTTCTTTCTCATACACCTGCTGCATAGGGCTCTCTGCAACTGAGCCCCCTGGAGGTCTCAGAGTTGGGTCAAATTGTGGTTTTAGGAGGAGGCTCAAAGTGCACATGAGGAAGCACCTGTTACTGCTCAACCACAACTTTGGGCTCTCAAGCCCCTTCTGCTAATACTGCCTTTGCCTCAGTACCAGGGGCTCTCCCAGGGAGGATAGTAACATGGGGAGTGGGTGGGATCCAAGCCTAGCCTGCAGCTGACATGCTCTGCTCCTCTCCAGTGCTCGCCTAGCCCTGCCCCTAGGTAGTAGGAAGGTGCTGCCTGATAGAGGGGACAAGGGGAGCAGCCAGCCCCATTGCTAACTGTTCAAGTCTTAGCTAAGAGCCTCAGTGGGCTGTCACCTTCTGCCCTTTCCTGCAAGAACTGAGGGGGCAATTACCAACTTTTATACAATCAGCTGACCCCGCTTAGTCCTGGGGTTGCACCTTGTCCTGTCCTGGGGATTGATCACAGGACCCTGGCTGTTAGGTTCTTATAAACCTGAGGGCCCATGGTAGAACACTGCCATATAGACAGACAGTGGGGAGGGCATTCCATGATTTACCAGGGAAGCAAAAGTCTGTGGGATGTGACCCTGCCTCTGATGGCAGCTCACAGGGAAGGATGCTAGGCTAAGCACCCACCTTGGACTCCTACCTTGCATTCCTGCCCCCTGATCCACTGAGCACACAGCCAGCCATGTGCAGCTCCTGGAGACAGCTGTCCTCCAGGATCTACCAACTCTGGCCTGCTCAGGGGGGACCTTCCCACCTGGGCAGCCTCTCTGGATCCCTCATTCCTTCAGCTGCTGCCTCAGCTTACTGCTTACCACTCACTTCCAGGAGGACACCCAGCAACAGTGCCTACGTTCACTGTTCAGGGCCAAGTTATTCATGAAGATGACAAGGTAGACCTTACTCAGGATAGGGCCGTGGCAGTAGGTGTGGGCAGTGGGCTGGGGGGGGAGGGGGAGGCTAAGTATTGCATGGAAAAGGGGGATTTGTGCCAGGAGCAGGAAGGGTCAGTGATGGGAAGTTACTAAGAGTACTCACCCAGTGGGGATTGTGGCTAAAAACATCTAACAGGATTGTTTCTGAAAGCAGGCAGGCAATCAGATTTCTGTGGGGGATGAGGAACCCACTGGAGGTGTATAGATGGATCTAGGGGCCCAAGTCCTGATTGGAGAGCTCTGAGGAACCTAAGAGGGGTCAAGCAGAGTCCCGTCTGCACTTCCTCCATTAGGGTGGTGGTGATGGGGGCTTCCTATAGCCTGTCAGCTCCTCCCATGCCTCTTCTACTCTCCCTTATCCTCAGTCACCTCACCCTAAAATGCCATCAACGCTGATTACTCCAGTATCCAGACTACAGATGGGGCTACCTCAGGTGGTGATGGGAGTTGGGGGGAACAGGCTTAGAGCTGACCCTGCTGCTACCCAGTGCCCTCTTCACAGCCCTCAATCAGCATCTAGCCCTTGTCAGACATAGCACTACCGCTTTTGGACCCACCACAGACGCTCCATGAGGCCCCACACCTCCCACCACGCTACATTTCCCTGCACAGCAAAGCTGGGACCCTGGAAAGGGCACGCCTGTGGCTTTGGACTTGCTGTGCAAGTCTGGAACTCCCGTGTGGGGGAACCAGGGCTCAGACTTAGTAGTAGTGCACTACAAGGTTGGGGCTCAAACCCTGTTGACACACACTGTGGGAGCCCCCCAAACTCCCCAAAAGCTGGTGAGGGAGGCAGTGGAGGCGGGCCAGGAGAGCAGGCAGGCCTCTTAATTGTTTTCCCCACTAAGCCACAAGCAGGGTATGCACTAGGGCAGCGTCCTGTAAAAGAACCCATAGAAATGACAATGCAGGGGATGTCTTGTTTTAAGTCCCAAGTTTGCAGCCACCCTACGGAGCGGGCCCTACGTTCATTAGACCATTGTCACCGAGTCAGGTCTGTGACCCACGGTGATGACAGGCGGGAGGCACTGGTCTGACACCAGCACGCTGAGCTATCAGCAGTGAATGCCAAGTACCTCTGCGGAGCCTCCACTAGCACCGGGACAAACCTTCTCGGCGGTGCCGTGCGCATTCACGCTCCTCTCCACCGTGACCACAACAGGGTCTCAGCATCATGGCGGCCGCCTGGCTCCTACAGCCGCAGACGTGATGGCGGGAACCTAGGTGCGGTTTGAGACTCATCTCCCTAAATTTTCCTCTGGGGTATCTGTCTATGGGCTCTGGTAAATGGCCCACATCGGAGATGGTGACTTTTGAGCACACCACCTCCGGATCCTGGCATCACCACATAGCGTGAGTTCTAATAATGATTGTCATTGCCAGCCGGGCTCTGGGGTACAGCTTCCGCCCTTTCCCAGGCAGGGTTGGGGCGGGGCATTGCTCAGCTGAGCGGGACTGGGACGCAGAGCGGGGTGCAGGCGCATAGGACAACGCGGAGATGACGTGAGCGAACGTCCTGGCGCTCTGAGGTTTGCAGTGGGTGGAGAGGCCAGAGGCCAGGGAACCCGGAGGCGAGGTGCAGCCTGAAACTGGCTCCAGCCCAGACAGCTTGTGCTGGGGGTGTGACCAGTTCAGCTGGGAGGACGTGAAGACTGGCAGAGGGAGAGCTACTTGAGTGAGCACGGAGCAGGGTTGCAGAACCCTGGGGCGGAGGTCAGGAATGCATGCCGACTTGTGGGCGGAGGACTGGCCTCTGTTCCTGTAGGCCACTCGCTGATGGCCCAGTGGGCCGCGACCTTACCTGGTACGCTAAGGGCCGGGTGGACAGTGTGGGGGTGAGCCAGGAACGAGCAGGCGGAGGAAACGCTGATGGTAGCTCCGTGAGTGAGCCTGTGACTAGACGATTCCAGGATAACACGGGGGTAGGAGGGAGCCGCGCACGCGGCGGGGAGGAGAGGACGCGAAGGGGGCCGAGGCAAGGCCTGCTGCACCTGATGCTCAGGCGTGCCTCCGCAAGGAGGTGAGGGGCAGACTTCTTGGAGGAGTGCCTGCCCGCCTGTCTTCCCAGAGGATTTTGTGGTGTGTACGCGCAAAGGAAGTGACCCGGAGACGGGAGTGTATCAGCTCCTGGGCCTGGGGAGCTGCAGGTGCAGTGTGTGTGTGTGTGGGGGGGGGGAGTGCGGGGGGGGGGGGGGGGAGCGCGGCGGCTCAGAAGATCCTGGGTACAGGTGTTAGGGGTTCGGCCCTGTCAGCCCAGACCGAAGCTGGTACCAGCAAGGAAGGCCTGAGGGGTCTCACTGTGGCTCCTGGCCAAGCGGCATTGTCCTGAGAAGATGAAGCGGCAGCTTAACTAGGGTTCTCAGTGTTCACGCTAATCGCCCCCAAATGTCCTGGAATTTGATGGGGGGAGATGTCTCTTCCTATTGAGGGCTAAGGGCATCTTGCCTCAAGGACTCTCCCAGGAAACCAGGACTGGCTTTCCACGGTAGGCACGTTGGGGGAGCCCTGCATGCTTCTGAGCGGCTTCCTCGACAGCACCATTGTGTCTTGAGTAGTTGGCCAGGGGTCTCCCTGGACTGGAAAAACCAGGAGGAGTAAGAAGAGCAGGGGTGTGGATTGGCTGGAGGTACAGGACTCAGGGCTCTCAGCAGGCCTGCTGACTCCCTCTTGGACCAGTGATGTTCTTGGTTCCAGACCCCTTTTTCTTCTGAGGAGCCTTTAGGTTGTGAGCCCAAGGCTGTCCCAGGACTGCCTACTGGAGCCCAGGTGTCTCATTGTGTGGGTTGCTGAATGCATAGAGCCACCTGCTGCTTTAAAGGCCAAGTGAAGGGTGTGGGGTAGAGACCGTGAAGAGGTCCCACAAATTTTTGGCCTTCCCACTATGCCACTACTGGCCATGTGTGATGACTACCGTGGTGACCCCTGGCACTGTGTACCCACCCCTCACAGCCCGAGAATCACAAGAGCAGGAAAAAGAAAAGGCACAAGAGAGAGAAGGAGTACAGGACCAAGGAAGCCTGTAGGTGTAGCAGCTCTGTCTGTGGGGCAGGGCCAAGTGGTGGTAGATAGTCCCTCACACTGACATCCATCTGGTCTCCCAGGGCCAGCCATCACTACAAGAGGAGGCAAGGGCATGACAGCCCACCAAGACTCTGCTCACTCCAGGCAGGCCCTGACCTCAGTAAAGCCTTTCAGCATTTGCCCTGCTAGGCCCAGGAACTGTAGGGTAGGCTTCCGTGGGCCCTACCAGGACCCTGTAAGCAGGCAAAGTATCTAGGTGAGGCCTCACCACCAGATGGCCCCAGGACCACCAGTGGAGGACAAACCTGCTTTGGGTTCCCAATACTGCTGCTTCTATTTTTCTTTGTGTTGACTCACCCTTTGTACTTAAATAAACTTACTTTAAACTGAAGGTAATGTGTGAAAATGTATCGAATGCCTTGGGTTCCAGCAGGACCACCTTAGACCTCACTGTGTAGGAAACTGCAGACCAGAAATTGCTCAGCTGAAAGTGGGCCTTTGAGGTGGAGGAGTACAGGGGGAAAAGGCGGCCAGACTGGTAGGTGAGGGGTGGAGATGGCCTTGTACCAGCAGACAGCTCTGCTTTTCAGGCACCTAGAAACCTGCTGCTCCCTATCCCTGAGTCTGCTCTGCTTTTCTCAAAGATACATCTTCCCTCCCCACCTCTAGCTGCCCCGTTGGGAGGTATGCATGTAGCCAGCCACAAAAGAAATGAAAACTTATAATCGCATTGGAGTAAAGACAAAACCCAGGATTCATTATTATGAAATATATTCAATATTCCTTATGATTCTGTCCTCAGAGCCCTGCCCCTGTTTCTCAACCATTAGTGAAACTAGATAACAGGGCAGAGGAATGGCCAGAAGGGCTCCAGGTCAAAGGGACACCCCCAAAGCGCAGGTAGAGGGCCCACAGCATCCAAATGGGCACAGGTGTGCACCGTGGCAAAGGCTCCCAAAAAATATGAAACTAGACCAAGGGTTCACGTCCCTTTTTAGAGGTACCTCCACAGATGATCCCAGGCCCTGGCCTCTCATAGACACACCCCACATGAGGACCTCGTTGGTCCTCTCTTGGCTTGGCATCACTGAGAATGGACCAAGGCTGGGGAATGCCAACGGGGAGAGACCAATGAGGAAGTCCCCCAGGGGTGCTGGCACATACCCACACCTACCGAGGGGTAGGGGGGGAGGATGCACATGGTCTGGGGTGGGTCAGGGGTTGGCCATATTCCCTAAGCCATCCCTGCCAATGTCACAGGAGGCAGCCTTGGTCAACGGTACCCAAGCACTGGAAAGCCATGAAACAGTTGAGATTTTATTCTAACAGCTATAATTACAGTGCTTGTTTGTTGAAACTGAAAACAAGTATACAAAACAGTTGATTACTAATTGTGTATTGAAAGCAATAAGAGGCTCCACGACACCAGATAAACCAGTTCTGAGGTTTTCCCCAAGATAAATTTTAACAGCTCCAGCTTCTTCAGTGTTTATCAAAATACAAAAGAAAAAAGTAGAGGTTGTTGTTTTCCATGTCAAATCTGACCCTTGCAGGCTAAGGAAGTGAAAGCACATGTGGACGGGGGCTCTGAGGAGCTAGGCTCTAAGATGACTGGCCACCTGTCTGCATTTCTACTGGTGAAACCCAAACAACCTGGAGCAAGTGAGCATGCATGGGGACCATGGGGGGCTTCCATTCTGGCTAGAGTGGTCCCACCAAAGCACCTACGCTAACCCACACTGACCCAAGGGAAGGCTGGGGTCCCTCCAAGGGGTCTGTGAGTGGTGGCCACAGCCCCCAGCCCATCCCCTAGGCAGTGGTGTAAGCATGGGTACAGGCATAAACACTACGGGATGCGGATGACCCAGTGAGATAGAGCCAATCAGGGACCATATGTGACCATGCAGAATGTATTGTGGCTGGTTCTGCCCACTGCACACTCCAGACGAGAGAGAGAGACCACGGGTAGACTGGACTCAAGACATTTCTGCAGAACCTACACTAGGCACATTTCTCCCTTCTTTACGTTCAAGTGTCTTCTGACCTTGTATTTTAACTATTTTTAAAAAATGCACTGAGTTTGGGTTAGAAACCAACCACCAAAATGGATCTCAACGGAGATCTAAAGCCCAGAACAGGAGCGTTGAGCTGATCTCACAGCAACTCCTCGAGGCCCCAGGTGCCTAAAATCCCTTCTCAGTACTGAACAGTTGGTTGATTCTCTTTTTACAATAAAAAAAGCTGAGTAATATTGCATAGGAGTACCAGAAACTGCCTCATTGGAAACAAGAACTATTTACATTAAATAAAAACCTGGTTGCAGGCTGCATCTGCACATGTACAGCATGATGAAGCACACTGGGACCAACCATGGAGACAGCTTCTGGCACTCACACCACAGGGGCACATCTGCCACATGATAGGAAAGCAAGGGTGAAGGAGGGAGTGGGGGAGAGAGGAGTGCGGCTCACTTCTGGTTCCGGAGCTGATTGGACAGCCAGTCCAGTCCCTCATAGAGCCCGTCCCCACTGGTGGCACAGGTAGCCTGAATGTACCAGTTCCTGTGGCGCAGAGAATGCAGGCCCAGCTTGTCTGTGATCTCGGCGGCGTTCATGGCATTGGGGAGGTCCTGGTGGGAAGGACAGAGTGGCATGGCAGCCATGGGTCATCAGGAAGACTGGGACCCCTTCCCACCTGACCTGTAATCCCTTCAGACCCTCATCCCCTTGGGGTGGCTCAGTCACACACAAATGCATACCTGCTTGTTTGCGAACACAAGCAGGACAGCATCTCTGAGCTCGTCCTCCGCCAGCATCCGCATGAGCTCCTCTCGGGCCTCATTCACACGCTCTCGGTCATTGCTGTCAACCACAAAGATGAGACCTGCCAAGGAGCAGGCATCAGTGAAGGCACTGAGGACACCCAACCTCTCCCACAGGCCATGGACCCAGGCCCTCACCTTGTGTGTTCTGGAAGTAGTGGCGCCACAGAGGCCGGATCTTGTCCTGGCCGCCCACATCCCACACGGTGAAGCTGATGTTCTTATACTCCACAGTCTCCACATTGAAACCTGCAGGAGCATGGCCCAGTGTGAGCCAAACCCCCAGCTGCCCCAGCCACCTCCCCCAGCCCCCAGGGCCTGACCTCCTCACCTATGGTGGGGATGGTAGTCACGATCTCGCCCAGCTTCAGTTTGTACAGGATGGTGGTCTTCCCCGCAGCATCCAGGCCCACCATGAGAATGCGCATTTCTTTTTTGCCAAAAAGGCCCTTGAAGAGGTTCGCAAAGATATTCCCCATGCTGTAGACTGGAGGGAGAGACACTGGCCAGAAAAACCTGCAGAGACAAGGGGTCCCAGGGTCTCTTTCTGTGCTACCCAGGGTTAGCAGCTCAGAGACAACCTATCCTCCCCGCTATGGACAAACAGGACAGGGGCTTTAGCTCACAGGACAGGAGCTAAAGAAATTCCAGTTCCCAAGCTACAGAAAGACTCCTGCCTGCGGGAATTTCAATTCCCCCCTCCCAATCACCCTTAGAAGGGCGAGTCTGGGAATCTTAGGAACAGGGATGACCTGTACCAACTCAACATCCATGACTTTCAAAGGAGTTCTAGATCCTCCTCTTCAGTATAATACAGAACTTTTCAAGAAGGCCAGAAACAAATGAACCAAGGCCCCACAGTGTTTCTCAATCGCCCCACCAAGCCCCAGTGAAACATGGCCCACACTTAGGATAATGAATGCTTGGGTAGCAAGCCCCCTCCCCAGGAACAAATCGGAAGCCAACAATTCCCAACATGCTGAGAGCTCAACACTCAACCCTCAGGTGGGACATGGGGACCAACAACACCTGGGCACTGAGTCCAAAGCACAGCAAGGGCCTGGCTCACATGGTGTAGGCAAAACGCTCATGTGAAAACATTCGTGCCATGTCCTGGTCACACCCACCCTAAGCTCCCCTCAAGAAGAGCAAAATCACTGGGACATCATCCAGTCAACTACTTCCCAAGGTCAGAGAGCAGGCAGGAAGAATCAGGAGGCCATAGGAAGCCACGGGCCAGGAAAAATGGGCTCTCAGTCCCAGATGGCCCCCAGGGCACTGGAGCTGCCCAGGCCTGGCCTCTCCATGCTGTCCCCTCCCTCAACTTTTATTCCAAACAAGGAAAATTGGTCACTTTCTCAAATGCTGACTGATGCACCTGCCCCCAGAAGTAACCAACAGCTCCCAGTCTTTGGACTTTGAACAAACACTGCTGAGGCCAGAGGCCAGTGAAGGACATCATATGGACCTAGCACAGGCATGCCCCACTGCACCTCACTTGGAGGGCGTGTCCAGACCACACCACCCTATGTCATCTGTGATGACAGGCTCAGGTAGTCACCGGGTCTCTCTATTCTAAGCTCTCTCCATCTGAGCACTGAGTGACAATATGCACATCCAGTTCCTTATGAAACATCCACCCTCAGAGGTTTCAGCTCTTGACATTTCCTGGCAAACTACTGCCACGACGACAGTCAAATGGTGTTTTTCATCATTCCTTCCAGCTGTTAGCATTCTGCTGTAAGAAACTACCTTTCTTTCTCCAGGTATCGACATGAATGTGAACTCCCACATTCCCATTTCACTCAGTGGGTCAGAACCAGCTGCCCTATAGTGAATGTGATACTCTGATAGTCCCAGATATGCCCAGTAGAGCCCCTTCTAAACTACCTTCAGTGCACTTTTGACACCTTTTTCATTCTTTTTGGTTTTGAACAATATTACCTATTGTAATAATTTAAATTTAAAAATATCTTTACTGTAGCATTTCCTTTTCTGCAACGAGAAAATTTTCCTTAATACAGAGGGAGAAAAATTATGAAGCACAAAAACTAAACATACAATTGACCCATTTCACTCCTGCAATCACTATCAATAAACAAAGTGATGCCTAACCCATAAGGACAAAGAGAAAAGGAGGGAGACATATTCTGGGAGCTAACACAGTATGGGTGGGGTCTGACTGCATGCTTATCCCTGTCTTCAGCCCTGCAGGAAAGCAAAGGGACCTTCTTGGAACAAGGGGTTAAAGGTTATCTGCACCCTCCCCAACCCCTACTAGGGCAGAGGGAACATCTCCAGGTAAATCCCCCATGCCTGGGTGTGACCTCTGCATGCATAGTCCCTACTCTCTCCCTCCTTGGCCTGTGCCTGTGAACCCTGATTACCAGCCCCACCCCATTTGGTGGGTCCTGGCCCACCCCATTTGGTTTTGAAACAGATCCAAGTTATGGAGTCTCGTAGGGGGAATAAGTCACACTTGGTGGCAGAACCAGGATGTGGATGAGTACCAAGTCTCAAAATTTAAGATACTATGATACACAGCATTTGGTCTCTCCCCACTACAAGCATCTGTACCTGCCCTGTCTCCTCAGCACCATTTACTGCTTTGTCAGAGGTCCAGACCTAACACAGTATCTGCCACAATAGAAAAGTTTAACATTGGCCTGGTCCAGGTTCCAACTTATGGGGATACCCAGCCCAGGTGCTATTTCACCTTACTCCACCAGAATCCTGCACACTCAAGTCAAAACCTGAAAAAGTTTTTTAGGTTCATTGTATTCGTGAGCAGAGAAGACACCGACTTTCTCAGAATCCCTCCTCCCCACCTGTGAGTCTGCAACTGATCAATCTAAAAGATGCAAGAATAACAAGGGTGTGTCTCTGAGAAGACACAACCGTTAGGGTAGCATGCTGGCATTAAAGCCAACAACAGAATTCAACTCCCACATGCAGAGATCTACAGGCCAACAATGGGGCCTCCCTGGAAAAAAACATCCATCCCACTCCAATAAATGACTACTTTAAATGCTGAAGAGAAACAAGTGTACCTGTGACCTCTACCTGTGCCCTCTGCATCTCCACCAAGCCTCAGTGGTAACAGGAGAAGCAGGGATGGCCCTCGTTTGCAATCAGAGTTCTGCAACTTGTCTCTGCAGAAGGAAAGTCTGTCAGGTTTTCTGAAACCGTTAGAGCTGATTTATGTCACAGAATCTCTGTAACAGTGTACACCTAGACGACGTGAATGGTTGGGATAACTAGAAAGAAGACACCACCAATGTAGAACGTAGCTTCAGAATCAAGTGTGTGACCCAGGGAGGCAGAAAGTTAGGACTGAACTCCATCCTGTGCTGTGGATGCGATGGGCTGTACTGGTCTCTGCAAATGGGGGTTCAGATGGATGAATCCCCTAGTCAAATGAAAAGCTGGGTAACAGAGCTTTTTTTCCTTTTTTTAAAGTGAAGTTTAGCCCAGCCAGTGTGGTTCAGTGGATTGAGCTTCATCCCATGGACTGAAAGGCCCTGGTTCAATTCCCAGTCAGGGCACATGCCCAGGTTGCAGGCTCAATCCCCGGTTGGGGGCATGCAGGAGGCAGCCAATCGATGTTTCTCTCTCTCTCTCTCAAATATCAATAAAAACATATTTTTTTAAAAAGTCAAGTTTATTGAGGCATAAATTACATACAGTAAAATGTACAGCTCAGTAGTTCATGTTTTAGTATCTGAGGAACATTAACAAAGTGAAGATTTCCCTGAGGAACTCATATATGCACACTACAAAACATTTTAAGTTTCGTGAAGGAGCAACTGCCTCTGGAAGTCACTTATGTACTTGGATCATTCATTATTCAAAAGCCCAATTCATCCGTGACACACAGAGTTCAAATTTAAAAGTGGTTCCTCTGTGTTCACAGGCTGCAAACTGCTTTTTGTATGTAAACTTGGGACTCCAGTACACCAGCGAAATAAAGCCTCAAGCCATTATATCTGCCTGTCAGCCCAACATTCAATTTCTGTAGCTGTTTTTCTGCAATTTAGTATCCTACATTTTGTCACCATTTATAGAAATTAGTGTTAAGAGGAAACCTGAATTGTGCCAATACTAGTGACAAGAAGGTATACCTCACAGGCCTAATACAACTATGACAAAGATATGCATCAACAGGCTCAGAACATTCAGCCTGAGATATTCAATGGATCTAAGTTGACAGAACTTTCTTATCTTCCCCTTCAGATATAATTGATATATACACTGTATTTGTTCCAGGTGTAAATCATGATTTGGTATGTGCATATATTGCAAAATGATCACCACAAAAAGTCTAGTTAACATTTACTACTTGATATAGTTTAAAAATTTTTTTCTTGTGGTGGTCTATTCTTTGACCTACTTTCAAATATATATTATTAACTACAGTCACAACCCTGTACATTACTTATGTTATGACTAAAAGTGTGTACCTTTTGACACCTCCCTCCCCATCTCCCCAACCCTGAACTTTCAATAAACAAAAGAACATGTAACAATATTTTAGAACTGTATCATTCTGGTCTGCATGTAAAGGTGCGTTTCAATGAGACAGTGTTGTTTTTCAGAATAAAACTTTCAGGATGTTTTGCAGGAACCAATCAGGCACAAGGGTTAGCCTCTATGCAAGCTTCCACTCCCCCACCCAAAGAAGGCTACACTGGAGGGTTGGTTTCTAAATAACACATCCTTTTCACAGCATCTTCCACAACTGAAGGAGGAGCAACCAGTGAAATTCAATTTAGATCACTCTTTGCCAGCTTAAGATTCAAGGTGAAATCTTTAAAATGACAGCTAGAAATCAGTTTCATTCATGTATGTGACTCTTGTTCTACACTACAGTAACATGTACTGAACACCCAAGAGCCACTGTCACTGTTTAACTGAACAGGCACCTAGCAACCACAGGCACATATAGGAACTTAACGGCAATTAATCCTACCTACAAAAGCCAAAGCCATTAGCCTGACCGGTGTGGGTCAGTGGACTGCGCATCATCCCATGGACTGAGAGGTTCCAGATTCAATTCCCATTCAAGCAAGGCACATGCCCCAGCTGTGGGATCCATCCCCAGTAGGGGGCGTGCAGGAGGCAGCCGACTGATGTTTCTCTCTCTCTAAAAAAAATCAATGAAAACATATATAATAAAATAAAATGAAACATGTTAACTCTATTTTAAAAAAAAAAGCCAAAGCATTTAATTGACAAACGTATTTATGTTTTGTAGTTCCCCTTTATTCATAATCTTAAAGTTGTACTTATTATTTAATATAACTGTACTCAAAGCAATTTACCAAACATACTTAATGTCCTGAAATCTACAGATGGGGACAAATAACTAGATGGGCTAGCCCAAATGAAACAAAATCCACGTGGGACACTGAACCCAAATGTCACAGGGCCTCCACTGGAGTGAAACCAGGATGGAAGAGATCCACAGCTGAGAACAGCTCTCACAGCTCTGTGCACGTGTCCTTGTGGCAGACACC